TTAATGTATGATAATGATCCTATATTATTATGTCATTATTACATACAAAGAACACGCACAAATATGAAGTGCTATGTTGGGTCAGATTAGTGTTCATCTCTCTTACTAGCTTGTTTAAGGCTGTGGTTCAAAGAGATATTTTTTAGATGAGCATGCTATAATCAACCTGCAAAAATAAGTTAGGTATTTTCACTGTGTGTCATTTATACAACAAATATGTGTTGAGAGCTTCTGCCTAAGTCAAAATAGGGATTTGTGGGAACTTTCCAGACAAAGAGGCATGGAAACACGTCTAGGTAGAGGAAACACTATGCTGTGCTCAATAAATGGCCAGCAATTTAATTTTCTTACAGCAAACTGTGAGCCATGGATTGGCCAAAGATGAAGTTAGAGAGTGTAATGGTTAATTTTATGTGTTCACTTTGGTTAGGCTGTGGTGCCAAGTTGTTTGGTCAAACACTATTTGACATATTGAAGGTATTCAGTAGCTATTATAAACATAATCAGTGACTTTAAGTGAAGATTACCCTCAATAATGTGGATAGGCCTCATCCAATCAGATGAAGGATTTAAGAGCAGAAACTGAGGTTTCTGGGAGAAGAAGAAATTCTGCTATGGAATATAACATAAAAATCCTGCTTGAGTTTCCAGCCTGCCAACTTGTGCTATGAATTTCAGAATTGCGAACCTCACAATTGTGTGAAGTGATTCCTTAAAATAAAATCTCTTTCAATCTCCAGATAGATAGATGATAGATAGATGATGTTAGATAGATAGGTAAATGATAGATGATAGATAGATAGATAATAGGTAGATATAAATGTATGGGCATATAGATATATATGATATACTATAATCAATAGTATCTATCTATCATCTATCTAGAGGTCCTATTGGTTTTGTTTATTTGGAGAATCCTGACTTACAGACAGAGGCAACAACTAGAAGGACTTTTGATGCCACACAAAGGCGTTGAGATTTTGTCTTAAAGATTGGGACTCCTGCAAGTATGATTAGAGGATAATCTTAATCAGAATTACCTGGAAGTTCTAATTAAATATGCAGATTATCATATCCTACCTCAGACCCAGTTAATTCAAATTCCTAAAAGGGCCTGATAATTTGCACTTTAACACTCCTGGTGATGCAGATTCTCAGTTAATTATGTGATATCTTAATTAAAAATATTGAGAAACTTTAACCCAGCCAGGACATATTGTTAAGTTTCTCAGATTAAAAGCATCAGGGGCAGTGTGTATTATGTGTTCGATCTCAGATAAAAAATAAATTGGGTTGATGCTTTCAGGAGAACAAGATTTTTAATTTTTTAAAATTCATCCTCTATTAATTTTTTTCACTTTAAAACTATTTCATATTTCTTTTTCTTCAAACCTCTGGCACCACCTGCCCCATTCTTAGTCTTAGCTGATAACCTTATTTCCTAGCCCACTGAGAAAATGGAAGGCATCAGAAAAAAATATTTACAACTTCATTATCACATTTGTGAAGCTCTCTTCATCTGTGCCCCACACTTGCCTTTTTTCTCATGTTTCTATAAATAAACTCTGACTCTGTCCTAGGCCAACCTCTCCATCATCTCATCTTACTTTCCAACCTATGTTTCCAACTTATGTGCCAGTC